TACTTTATAAATCAATTATGAAATCCAAGATTTTTGGGTCATTCTAGATAAACGCATTGCCATAGGTAAGGAAGCATATTCTTATGGATAATGTTGCTTTTTATATTCTCGTGATCTTCAAGTCTTAAGTGTGTAAAATCTGGCTGTTTTTAACTAATAGCATATTAAAACCAATTAAAATGTTGACTTGAAGGCATTCTTGACATTTGCTTTCAATTGGCATGTGGGCAGATGCACATTTTGTCTAGCTCAAGATATATTTTTGTAGCCTTGTGTAGCAAGGATGAGTGTTCTAATACAGCATAGTCTTCTAAGACTGGTTGGTAGTTGCTTTCCCACTAATTTATTGCTGTAGAACTACTATGATTTTCTGTGAATGAAAACCTCTGCAACAATTTACAAAATGGCTTTTCAGCAATACTGTCCTTTCATCAGAGGCCCTTCAGCTTGTGTTTCATGACAGGTGAATTGAAAAATAAATCGATTTAAAAATTATAAAAGATTTGTGAGCTAACAAATATCTAGAATATTGGCATTATTTGTTTCTGTAAGAGTTCCTAATTTTAGAACTCTAGCATTATGAAGGTCTCACAATGTGATCACAAAATACTGAGCTTTGTGACATATGGTTTTACTGCTGTGTGTTAACTGTGAAATTATCAAAATGGAAAAGATTCTAATTAAAGCATGAGCTCAAATTATATAAATTGATTAGAGGATTTTGGAGTAAGTGGGGCAATTATGGAACATATCACTAGGGAATGTATAGTAGGGGTATTTTTTTATGTGTTTAAAATACATGTGGTGTATGTGTATGTGGCTTTTTTGTTTGTTTGTTTAAAGTAAAACCTATTCTGTTCTTACTGACATACCATCTACTCTGGACTACTCTGTATAATAACTGATATACCATCTACACTATAAAATTCATTGAACTTTAACCTATATTGTCTAATTTCTAATGTGCGACATTGCTGAATGGTTTCCAAAGATGAGCACAGCTCATCTGTCTACTTTCTGAAAAGGATGAAACATTATGCACCACTGATTATTGTGTAAGCCCAGTTTACAGAAACAAAACTAGTAGATTTTTCCCAAAGAAATATTCAGATCCCTATGTTTCTTAAAAAGTCACTGAATTTAACAAAACTCCACTTTAATGCCAAAAAACACGATAAGTTACTGCTGTGACAAACCTCATTTTGTAAGACAATGCCGTGGCTGGCTTAATTTTCCTCTAGGCAGCTTCCACTTCATTAGAATCCAGTTAGACATAGGATTTTGTCTAACGCTGTCTGAAGATGAGTGGCCTAACATTTGCTAAGTCTTCTCGCTTAGTCACTGACTCCCAGATGAGAGTCTGAAGAGATCTTACTTTCTTGTGGCACTATGATTAAAAAATAAATAAATCTCCCCTTTGGGCAGAAGCATGTGACATGTTTCTAATGCAATTCATATAATCGTATTGCCTTCCTTTAGGCTATAGTTTCTTACTTTAGATATGGCTACACATTCCAAAATAGTCCCACAGCATTCAGAGCACTAGCTCTTTCTAAAAGAATCCTCTTCTGTCACTGAAAAACTACCTTCCTGAATGAATGAAAAGAGAGAGGGGGACATAATGTGAATAACCACCTAGATCTCTCCTACTTTAAATAGGGCATCCTCTAAAATACAGTACATCTAATGCCATTTCAATGGTAGAATTTCACATTGCACTTTCTGTTCCCCACCACCTGTATTTCACTTTAAAGCCTCCTTGTTTTGTCCTTTTTCTTAATAATAACTTTTGGATTGTTCAGTATTTTTACTCCTTTCTCTTAATGTTAATGAATCTTTCCTATACTACTTGGTACTGTTTACACTGTTTTTACCAAGTTCAGTTTGGTTTTGTGTACATTTCTCCTGTGCCTGTATGCAGAAGTTCATTGTGGGTTATTTATATATTTGGGTCACTGGTTTACTTTAAAAAAGATGAAAAAATAATAGATATTACTAATATGGAGTCACTATTTATTAATTATGAGAAGAGCAAAATCAATTCAAAGTTAAGTTTCAGAAATTGCTCTTTTTCTTTTTTCTTTTAATGATGGAAATCTTGGTCAGTCTCTCTCAATTCTGTTCCACCAAACTAAAATTCTAGCTGTTACTTTCTCCACAGAGAGATAATGTTCAAAATATTTAAGGGGGGGAGTAAGGAAGGAATGTCTCCACATTTCTTTTCAATAATGTCATGTAATTCATAATACTATTTTGCAAGACAGCATGACCTTTATTCCCATTTCCCCTGCCATCACTCAAAGGAAATTCTACATCTATATTGCTGCGTACTGTAACCTGTTCACATTTGTAAATTATTTGCCCGATAGCATGTGATTGTGTAATGAAACCCTGCGTGATGTTAGCTGAATTTTGTAGAATAGCTTGGCCTTTTGTATTTGTACATAACTGTCGCACTGTGTAAGTATTTTTTTTTTTTAGTTAAGTATATAGGTTTTAAATAGTGGAGATTGCAACTAGAAGATGCACCAAGTAATCTTTATTCTGTTTTTAAAAAGCATTGAGCAATTGGTAGCCAAATAATTAGGTTTGGGACACCACTCAGGGAATTACATAGCAGTGTCAGAAAGTAAGCTCCATGAAATTTTGCCCAGATTTGCGAAGGTATTTAGGCAAGTAACTTCCATTGAAGTTAGGCACTTAAATGCCTCTGAGGATCTGGGCCTTTTGAGGCCTGAACGTTCACATCAGTGCGTGCTGCTCCAGGTGTCATTAGGCAGCCACTGCTGTAAAATCTTTATTTTCACACATTACTTCAAAGCAACTGTACAAGCAGCTACAGGGATAAATCACGCTGAATTTGTTTTTTGGGGACTACTATTTTTGTGCTTAGTTTGCTTAATACTCTTATTAAACTGCAGAAAGAGAAATTAGGGTTTGAGGGGTAAAACTTATGTGATGAGCCAGTCCTTTGTCACAATAAGGGCTCTAGCCCACGGCATTTGTTTCTCACAAAGCTAAAAACACTTGCTGGACTGACAGCCTTAAGTGATAAACAACCACATCTCTTCAGAACTTGAAAACAAAATCTAGTATCTTTTTAAAGATCTTTGTTCTGGGAGACAAATAACTTTGGACTAACAGATGTGCTATACCTCTGGATTTTGGGAATGAAGTGAATTTACCCCAGTCTGATCTTCCTTTGGATTTGAAGAGTCCCCATCAAAATGAAAGTTCAAACCAGGATTGTGGTCCTATTAGAATTCTGCTTAATTCATTGGGAACAACCAATGTCTATAGAGACCTTGCTTTGCTGCTGTTTTTTCAGTCTTCCAGCCCTTTGTAAGGCACGTCTACACTTCAGGACAAAAGTTGAATTAAGATACATAACTTCAGCTACATCAATTACGCAGCTGAAGTCGAAATAGCTTAATTTGGCTTTTGGTGTTGTCTACACAGCTGGAAGTCAAAGGAAAAACACTCTTCCTCTGACTTCCCTTACTCCTCATGAAATGAGGGTTACGTGAGTGGGAGTAAGGAGTCCTTGAGCTCGAAATTATTCCGAAATAATGCAGCTGTGTAGACTTACTCCAGTGAGAGACTCTTGCATTCTCTAGGGATGTGAAAGGTTAACTGGTTTCCTGTGCACTGCCCATCTTTTATTTAAAATAAATAAATAAATAAAACATTTGCAGTCTCAAACCCTAAGTGCCTCATGTAATCTGTTCTGTTTCTTGTCTCAGGGCACCTCCCTTCCAAATCCATAGTTCCTGTCAGACTCTTTGCCTGGAGAGTACCAATTTTCTCTTTGCACCTCCCTCCTCATCTGATCTCTCTCTCTCTTTCTCTCTCCCTCCCTCCCCCAGCTTTACCTCCACTTCACTAGGTTCCAGTCTTCTTGCCCAGCCAGTCTCTTCCCCTTTCTTTGCCAAAATTTCCAGTCCTAGTTTCTTCTGGCCTACATTCTCAGTTTGTTTAATTCTCTTGCCTTTCCTCTTCCCTCTGCTCCATCACTTATTCTCTCGGAGCTCACAGGCAAGACTGGCTTCCTACTCTGTTTTGGTACCTGGTTCTGATATGGCCTGCAGCAGCCCAGAACTGCAACTACAGGGAAAGGCCTTAGTCGGACACAGGCTAGAAGAGCATGTTGCCCAATGAGGATGGAATATTGGAGATTTTAGCTCTCGCAAGTCTCTTAGAAATTCTCATCTAAGCTTTTGCAAACTGCTCTCTCTCCTTGCCTTCCCCCACCAGCTTACAACTTGTCCAAATGGCTTATAATAAGCCCCTCAAAGGATTTCAGAGGTGGCAAAAGACACATCCTCAGCATACAGGCCATTCACTGCCAAATTTGAAGTTCTTGCTCTGAAGCATTAGGGCACTAGAGCCTCTCAAAGAAAAAAACCCTCCAGAATTTAACCTTGGCAAAACATCTCTCTCTCCCCCCCCCCCCCCCCCCGTGGCTTGCGGGGCTGGGGAGGGGGACGACAAACCAAACAAATACCCCTCTTCCCCAGCCTGAGGCAGGTACTTAGCAACTGAAAATTGGATTGTATAATGAGAAGGGTCATTCAACCTGAACAGGCACTACTAAACCCTCTTTTCCCCCTCATTGTAAATAAGCAGGCAGTTTTCTGCACAACACTCAATTACTGAAATGTGGGGTATATGAAGTTATTTTTAGGGGGAGAAAATAGAAATAATGTTGGTCTGCCACAGTTGAGATTTCTCTGGCATGTTTTTTTTCCTAGTAAACAATATTGTTTTTAGAATTATGCCTGGAATGTAACTAGCAGTATATATAGTGTATATAAAAGGCTTAACTCAGTGCCCCATCTGTGTATGCTACATGAGTCTGACGAACACCTACATTTTATTAATAAGTTGTCAATTCAGAGCAGCTTTAAGACTCTTTGATTATTTATACCAAATGGCTGAGAAATTGAGTCAGTAATTTGGAGGGACTTGTGTTTGGTAAAATGGTCTTTTTCTCCTTCTAGGCACATACGTTCTTACAACTGCTCTATTGCCTTTGTTGGAAAAAGAAGATGATCCCAGAGTTGTGAGTTTATAATGCTGCTTTCTAAATGGTTGTTTTTACTACACTCTCTTTGTGTTTTGTGGCAGTGTCTCTTTCCTCTTTGCTTGGGTGCATGATATTTGCAGTCCAGTACGACTTACTTCTCTGTTATGTGCCTAACACACTTAGACTCTAATAAATAGAAGTCATCCATTCAAAATCTGAATTCTATTCTGTTTTGCAACATCATTCTAAATGCTATAGGAGCTATGATGGTCAGTGAAGTAGATAAAGTATCTTATTCAGAGATTGCTATTTTCTTTAACATATTATCTCCTGCAGTCTAGTGAGACATCTATAACAAGACCATAGGATTAAAAGAGCCTTCTAGACTTTTATGCAGAAGGGGATCTTTTATTATGAAACATTCAGTTGTTTATACAAATAATTGAAAAACATTCTAATAAATGAACTGCCACCTATATTTTAAGGTTCACTGTCTTGTAACCTGCCAGGATTAGGAGATTCAGGGGGTAGCCGAGTTAGTCTGTTACAGGGGGGGAAAAAAAAACAGCAAGCAAATGGTCTAGTAGCACTTTATAGACTAACAAAACATGTAGATGGTATCATGAGCTTTCGTGGGCATAGCCCACTTCGTCAGATGACCGGAGTTATGATTGGAGGATAAGGAAACTCGAAATAAATAGAAGGGAAGGGGGGGGGGGGGGGGAAGCTACCTCTATGCATAAAGTATCAGGAGAAAGGGTGCTAGGATTAGAAATGGACATCAGGCTTTTTAATGTGCTTGTGTCTAAATAAAAACAATTGATTGGCTTTTCCCTGTGTTGGTCCTCAATCAGTGAATTAAAAAGCCTATCCCTATTGTGTCCCTTGACTAGTGAGAAGATACAAGCATGATCAGGTCCCTAATGGGGTCAAGAGACTTTTGAGTGAGGATCTGCTCCATTTTTTACCTTTCTTTTGTCAGCTGTCCCTGTACTCTTTGGGGCATAGGTGTGATGGCTCTCTTCAGCAAGCAGAGAGTGTAAAGAGAATAGAACAGAAGAATCTTGCATGCAGTTTGACTTCATTAGTGGGTTGTAATAATCCGAATGAACATGAGGGATTATGTATTTACCTTCACTTAATTTATTACAGATAACAGTCTCTTCAGGAGGGATGTTGGTTCAGAAATTAGACGTATCTGATTTGCAGTCTGGAAATGTAACATTCGATGGTACTATGGTCTATGCCCAAAACAAGGTATGGTATATGAACGATTAAGAATATGATGCAGCCTCCTTTAAAAAAGGCTGCAAAAAGGAAGTGCTATTGACACAGGATTGCTCTTTTCACTGCATCTAAACTACATCTGGCAACAGTTCTTATCAATATAAGACGTATCTGATTTGCAGTCTGGAAATGTAACATTCGATGGTACTATGGTCTATGCCCAAAACAAGGTATGGTATATGAACGATTAAGAATATGATGCAGCCTCCTTTAAAAAAGGCTGCAAAAAGGAAGTGCTATTGACACAGGATTGCTCTTTTCACTGCATCTAAACTACATCTGGCAACAGTTCTTATCAATATA